TTTATTGAGTGTCCCTGTGCCTATGTGAGTGGGGGGATACTGCAGGTAGAGAGGAGAAAGGCATAAGGAGGTTGGGGATTAGAAAAAGTTTGCATATGCCAACCACAGAAAACATTAGTAGAGCCACATTAAAAGTGTGTGGAGGCAGCAGGGGACAGTGGTGGTAGCTTGTGGTGAGGAATGCCAGGGGTAATTAGCCACAAAATTACACAGGCTTTGTAGGCCTTGTCAGTAAATTTAGACCTCTTCCCAAAACCAAAGAGGAACCTTTAAAGGACTTAAGCAATGGTGTGGTAGTATAATTCAATTTCTAATTTTGAAAACTCATTCAGTCTACAGAGCGCAGAACAGATCACAAGGGCCAAGACTATAGACAGGCAAACAAGTTAAGAGACAGTTTTGAAACAATAAAGGCCTGAGTTAGAAAGCAGTCCAACAGTAATTAATAGCAAGACTTCTGAAGTCATTTACCTGCATTCAAATCCCAGATTTTCTACTTACCAACTTGCTTACTCTCTCTACACTTCAGCTTTCTCTTCTATAATCCAGGTAAAAATCTTCACAGGGTTGTTGCCAAAGAACAAATAAAAGTATATATGTAAACGGCATGTGGCTCGGCACAGAGTAAGACCACAAATGTTTATTATTAATGTATTAATGGGACAGAGAAATGAGGACAATAACTAGAAGATGTTTACGAGACATTGAGTTAAGATACAGGACAAAGGGGAATGAAATTAGACTCATTTCTGGCTTGAATAATGGCTCTATTTGATGAGATGAGAAACACAGGTGTTTCAAAAGTTTTGAAGGTTTGAAGGAGAAGATAGTGTTCATTTTTTAATGTACTGATTATGAGACACATTCCAGCAGGCAGGTGAATATGGTGCTCTGAAGTGAAGGAAACAGATCAAGGCTGGGCGTGCACGAATCAAGAGCGACAGATGGAAATTACGTCCAAGGAGGTTGATGAGAGCCTCGAAGGTATGTAGAATAAAGAAATGCTGACACTAGATAGAAGCTATGGAACAGCAACATTTAAAGGACGGGCAGGGGAAGAAAAGCCTGCAAAGGACACTGAGAAAAAGAGGAGGCTGAGAAATGAGAATAGTGTGAAAATTCAAAATTCAAAAGGAAAAACAGAGTGTTTCAAACAGAAGCGAGTGCTCAACAATGTCAATACTTCGAAGCAGTGAAATGACTGGGAGCTTTCACTGATCTAGCAACAAAGTCTTCACTCACAGAATAAATGTGTCAAGCACTGTGCTAGGCTGAGGCGATGCCATAGTAAATACAACAAATGAGAGCTTTGCACACATTGATGTTGTGAAGATAAACTATAAACTAGTCAACAAAATACTTACTGCATTTGGAATAGTAGAGATTCAAGTGACATAATAGGGAGTAAAAAGCACTTTATATAGGCCACTTTAGATAGGGAGCTTGGGAGGGCATCTCTCTGAAGAGGGAAGGTTTAAACTGAGACCTGAAACGAAAGGGCTTAGAATGGTCAGAAAACTGAAAGAACTCTTTGAGACTATAGCATATTGGTGGAGGGACGGAGAGAAGCCAGGTCATGTTTTGTAGATTATGCTGAGAGCACAGTGAGAAAAGTTTAGATGATGACCTGTTAAGCATGTAAATAAGGAAGTTAAGGTCACTCGAGCTAATAGAGCTTAGCTGTTTGCTTTTTCTCATTTATCCTAGCCTTAATAATCAGAAATAGAACATTTCACCACTCTTAGCCATTAACTGTTTATTACAATAATATCAGAATAAACTTTTCTACTTCAAAGGTAACTATATGATTATGGCATGTTACTTGTTACATTAATTTTACTAATCCTCTTTTAGCCTTCCATATTTCTTTCGAAGACAATTCTCATAATATTTGCTTGATTCTATCACTAAGTTATATTTCTCTGGGGTATTTTCAAGAATTGTGTACCAGAATTTGAATGTTTTATAATAAGAATCAGCACAGTGTTACTAAAACCTGATGAAATTCATTAAAAAAGGTGATATTCCATACAGCCTATATCCCTTACTCTTCAATTCCTATTTCCTTAATCCATGTAGTTATATACATGTATATGACAGATAAGTTAATGCAGAATACATTGGCTTGATTCTGAGCCACTGAATTAAATGCTCATATAATTTTTTTTCATTTCCTTATCTGCAAGAGGAAGAATTTATGGCCCCTTCATATTTCACAAGGTTATCAATAATATAAAATGCTGCCATTTACTTAATATCTATTAATTGTCAGGCAGTGAAGTAGGCACATTACATGAATTATTTTCAATCATCCTTATACCCCCAAAATCGGTATTATTCTTCCCATTTTACAAATGAAAAAAACAGTCTCAGAGATCAGGTGGCTCGCTGAAGACTTCAGAGCTGGAATTTAAGCCCACTTCTGTAATCTCAAACACTCTGGTCACTATACTGCAATGCTTCAGACTATTAACAGAGAGGGTTTCTTAAAAATATCTACCAGATATAAGATTTAATAAGCATGAAGATGAATTTTAAATAAAAATGTAATTTTATTAACTTTTTAATAAACTGTACAACTTAGAAATATTAGCCATATACAATATTCATATATATTCCTCCTTTTCTCATAATACCTTGAATTCAATTTTTTTAATAATGGAGAATAGAGGTAAAAGAAAGACAGAAAACATAACCACACTGTCTTTAAGGCCCAAGAATTACCGTTCTGGGTCAGTTTTTCTCAGTATACCTTTTTAAGATTTTATTTATTTAATTTTTTAGAGAAGGGAAGGGAGGAAGAGGGAGAAACATCAATATGTGGTTGCTTCTCACACGCTCCCCCCCACACTGGGGACCTGGCCTGCAACCCAGGCATGTGACCTGACTGGAAATCAAACAGGCTACCCTTTGGTTTGCAGGCCAATGCCCAACCACTGAGCCATACCAGCCAGGACCCCAGTAAATCTTTAATACACGTTAAATCCAATGAACTACCAGTAACAAACTGCTTTTTCTCACAAACCTTATGTACCTCTCAAAATTAAAGATTACAAATGGCTTATGGTTTTCCTGAATCGGAGAAACCAAATCTGATTAGAATCTCTAGTTGTCACTACTTCTCTGAATTCAAAAAGTAACAAATCCCCACAAAAGAATCATAATTTTCCCTCAGCAGTATCTATAGATTTATTGTATTGTGAGCTCTTCCTACTAAGATTTTTCAGGTAGCTAAGTCATTCACCAAGACTCTGTCTGAAGAAGTCTAAATTTTTAACAAAAAGAGGGACTGGGGCATGCAAGGCAGCAGCTGGCAGATGTGATTTCCCACATTCACATGCAGATAAGCTGGGAGGAACAACTGGGGAGCAAGGCAAAGCACGCAACCTAGGGTTCCAGTTCAGGGAAATAAAGCCTCAAAACCTCTGGCTGTAAAAATCTGTGGGGATTGAGGGAGTGGGAGAAACTCTCAGCCTCACAGGAGAGTTTGTTGGAGAGACCCACAGCATCCTAGAACATATACAAACCCACCAACCCAGGAATCAGCATCTGAAAGGGCATAATCCACTTGTGGGAAGCAAGGGAGGGAAGTGACGGAAAGTGGGGTGAGAGCCAAGCAAGACAGCAAGTGGCACTGTTCCCTCTGACCTCTCCCACATATACAGCGCCACAACGCAGTGATGAGGGTTGCCCCACCCTGATGAGTACCTAAGTCTCCACCCATTACAACGTAACAGGTGCCCTGAGACAAAGAAACATGGCCCAAATGAAAGAACAGATCAAAGCTCCAGGAAAAGAGCTAAGTGATGAGGAAATAGACAACATATGAGATGCAGAGTTCAAAACACTGGTAATCAGGATGCTCACAGTAATGACTGAATTCAGTCACAAAATGAAGGAAGAAATGATGGCAATAGAAATTAAAATAAAGCAAAATATACAGGGAACCAACAGTGACAGGAAGGAAACTGGGACTCAAATCAATGATTTGGACAAAAGGAAGAAATAAACATCCAACCAGAACAGGATGAAGAAACAAGAATTCAAATAAATGAGGAGAGGATGAAGAACCTCTGGGACAACTTTAAGCATTCCAATATCCAAATCATAGGGGTGCCAGAAGAAGAGGAAGAGCAAGAAATTGAAAACTTATTTGAACAAATAATGAAGGAAAACTTCCCTAATCTGGCAAAAGAAATAGACATGCAAGTCCAGGACACTCAGAGAGTCCCAAAGAAATTGGATCCAATTTCTTAATCATAATTAAGTTACCCAAGATGAAAGATAAGGAGAGAATCTTAAAAGCAGCAAGAGAAAAGGAGACAGTTACCTACAAAGGATTGCCCATAAGACTATCAGCTGATTTCTCAAAAGAAACCTTGCAGCAAGAAGGGGCTGGAAAGAAGTATTCAAAATCATGAAAGGCAAGGACCTACATCCAAAATTACTCTATCCAGCAAAGCTATATATAGAATGGAAGGAAAGATAAAGTGATTCCCAGATAAGGTCAAGTTAAAGAAGTTTATCATCACCAAGCCATTATTATATGAAATGTTAAAGGGACTTATCTAAGAAAAAGAAGATCAAAACTATGAATAGTAAAATGACAACAAACCCACAACTATCAACATGTGAACCTAAAAAACAAAAACAAAAACTAAACAAACAACTAGAACAGGAACAGAATCACAGAAATGGAGATCACATAGAGGGTTATCACTGAAGAAAGTGAGGAGGAGAATGGGGGGGAGGGTACAGGGAATAAGAAGCATAATTGGTAGGCCTAAAATAGACAGGAGGAGGTTAAGAATACTATAGGAAATGGAGAAGCCGAAGAACATATATATACAACCTATGGACATGAACTAAGGGGGAGGGGAAATGCTGGACCATGGCAGGGTGGTACAGGGCAGGGCGGGTGGGAAAGGGAGAAAAAACTGGGACAACTGTAATAGCATAATCAGTAAAATATACTTACAAAACATGTTTAAAAGTAAATGTAAAAATAAAAAGAAATTACTGCCAGATCACCTTTATTTGCCTTAACAAAATACACACAAGAGCACAAAATTCACTTATAATATCATCATTATTTTACAAGTATAAATAATGCTCAGAATTCAAGTACAGTCAAGGGCAGAAATATTTCCTATATGTTTTATGTAAACATAAGCTAATTATATACATTATGTGCCTTTGGCCCAGCTGCAAAATAAGAGGCATCAAAAAGAAACACTGCACTTGACTCTTCAATTGCATTTTTACCAAGAATTCGTACCAATGCCTAGTTATAGTTAAAACTCTCGTACTGCTTAATGTAAATGCCTAAATAGACATTTTCCCCCTGGCAAATATCTTGAGAGTAAAAATTCTATCAATTTTTAATGATGAAGTATTAAAAATCTTAATTGAGTTTCATTTCTTAAAACAAACACCATTAGAACTTATTCCTAACCAAAGTTCTTCCTATGTCAAAATGAATATTATTTACAGGTCACGCATATAGAAAACAAGAATGTTATCATGTTTGTTTGCTTTTAGAATGGAAAAAATTTCCAAAAGCTGTCTAAACAATGTGGGTCTTTGGACATTCAAAAGGATCTTACTTCACTGATATCACTTGTCTTTAGTTTTCATATTTAGTAGATATAACTCTGACATATTGAAATAGCCAGGCAATCTGAATTCAAATGATATCAAGCGTATCAAAAAAAAAAGCACCACCTAAAAAGCAGTAACTGACATCAACAAAACTACGAATATCCAGTTGAAGGCACATGGAAGCATTTACTACATTGTCATCAAAGATTCTCCACTCAGTTCAGGATTAGGAACAGAATCAGCTCTGGGAACTGTTGATTTGGCTTCATTCATTGCAGTTTCCTCATTGTCGGTGTCTTCTTGCTTCTCCTCTGGTTCCTCTGTGCCAGGTGCTTTTTCAATCCCTTCGCTTGTCTGCTCTGTATCTGTTACCGCGTCCTCTGTCTGCTCTGTAGTGCTATCAGAAACATCTTGTTCTTCTACAGATTCTGAAAAGACAAAGAGTCAAGACTTCAGAAATACCCAAATGTTAATTGCTAAAAAAGATAAGCACAAGATAAGCACACACATACATGGACTAAGAAACAGTAAAACCTAAAATTTTTTAAATCTTTTTAAAAAGTCCCTTAAAATACATACTTAACTTCCTATTGCTTATTATATATGAATTTGTATGGATGAAGGAAAAAAACAATTTGAAGGAAATAAACCTGTAACATACTTTTACCTAAAGCCCCCTATTTTCATAAAATTTAGGAACTTTAACAATATTTAGGAATTTTCCTAAAGACATATTGGAAGTTGAATGTCAAATCAAACAATGCAGCAACAGAATTATGTGCTATAAGACAACAGCCTGGCAAACAAAGCAAAGGCATTAACTCTCGGGTTATGTTTCCTGAAGGCACTGTCTTCCTTGTGCCCAGGCAACCCTGTGGGCAATGCATAAATATGTACCTTTGCGTGTATACAGGCAGTGCTATTCCCCACACTGATTTCATCTCTATTATCCAAGGACTTAGAAGTAAGTCAGGATCCACCTTCCCCAAAGGCATGACAAGTCTCCCCTCATCCCTCTATGCAAGACAAATCCTCATTATTTAAACTTCTGGGTCTGAATATGCTTCATATCTACAATGCTAGGGAGGGGAAGAGAAGGGTCTTTTGTCCCTGTCTCTATAATAGAAACTAGTTAAAATTCTTGGTCCCTAATCTGAAATGTTTGAGTTTAATTAAATTCAAATCCCTTAATAATAATCAATAATAATGACAATTATATTAAAGCCCCTATAATTCTTTAAAGTTTAAAGAACAGGGGAGGGAAACACAGGAGCATTTTTGTTTTTATAATAAATAGCAACTAATATTCTTGCTAGCAAAATATGGTTAAACCACATCAGCTAAACAAATAAGCAGATTTACCCTCATAGAAGGTCCCTTATGGTATACTACAAGTGTTACTGATTCAAAATTTCTGGAGGAAAGGCCAGTCTACATTAGTAAAAAGTTCTAGTTCAGTTACTGGCATAGTATAATGTGTATGTGTGTGCATGCATGCATGTTTTGCTAAATAAATTTAATTAATAGCTTTACAAAGAAATCATGTGCTATATATACACACACATTAATGTGGAAGTTTTATAAATTCATAGTTTTACCCTACCAGTTTTAATAAATACAAATCATATCTCACACACTCTGTGCCAAAACTAAAAATATTTTAAAAGAATTATTTCTATAAACAAATATTTTAGACTCTAGTTTATAGAATTAACTGCAAAATTTTTTCCAATTTTTATATATAGGATGAAGGCCAAAATTATGGTTAGGAACATCCAACTTAATGAGGTTTTACTATATGAAAATTTCACATAATCACGAAAAGTAGTAAGGAATGGTTCTCAAATTATATTGTACCAAATGTCACAAAAATGCTATTTTTACCTTAAAAGGAACTTAAAAGGGCACTGCTCTAACACTTCAAATCTTTAAAAAGTCCAAGGTAAAAAGTAATAAATTATCTGAGTTTGTTATTTGAATGTTCCAGTGCACAAAGGAAAAGCAGAAACTGCAAATGAAATTCTGTGGATATGTAAATCATTTCTGCTATGTGGGCAAGTAAGTTCTTCAGTAGAAAACTTCAGGAATTACCAACCATTTGTAATTCTACCCTCAAAGAATTTATCCAGGATAGAATTTTAAGTCCAGGACAGAATTCAAGTCATGGTTTTCCACAACTCTGGCCGTAGAGCAATACTTACTTGCCAGGAACCTTACAATTTGTTATAATTTAGTAACCCTTCTGAAACAAACCAAAAAAACCACACAAAATGAAAAAAATAAAAAGCTCAGAATACACGACTCAACTCACCAATAAACGTGTTTAAGTGAACAGAGATGGGCCACATAGTTTGTTATACTGTTGGACAGACTGCCTCAGTACTAAACAGGAGTGCTTTCAAAGTTCATGGTTTATCATATTAAAGCTCTGTGATAGAACTATTTTCAGAAATACATCACTTACTTGAATTCATTTGATTTTAAAATTCTTGGACTTTAAAAATGTAGTTAATACAAAAAGCAGAATTACCATACTTAAATTTTTAAATGTCTATAAAGATGAATTCTAAGAAATACCATTTGCTGTCATAATTCAAATATGGAATTATATACAAAGTTTGAACATCAATGCTGTGTTGTATTTCAGAGATGATATGGAAAGCCAAAAATTGGTGAAATGATAGGTAGGGATTAAACATAATCAAAAAACCTGTTAATGACTACTTCTCTTTCCCCAAGTTAATTTGCAGAAAAATAATTTTAATAGCAGTAACACTATAAAAAACTGGCATGTGCCATGATACTTATAATGCAGAGTTGACTGGTCTAAATGACATAGATACTCACAGTCTGAATGCCAATCCTACTTTGTGACAAGTCACCCAAACAAGATGTAAATGAACGAGGTGTGTGAGAACAGAGAAATACTTACCAGTTTAATAACTAGACCACAGAGCTTTATAATACCATTAAGCATATTCTAAAGATACCTTATTTCTATGGGAAAGTATCATTTGCCCGGTATAATAAAAACAATAAATTTTTTCTGGGAAGTTGTAATTTAAAATAATTTAGTGGTAATAAATACATTAAGAAGATGTCAACATTTGGGCATAAAATACTAAAAGAAATCAGCCTTTGGAGTCATGCCAGTTTAGACTAAAATTAAAACAAAGTTAGCTCCATGATCTAATTCCATCTGCAAGAAACTTTTAAAAATCAACTTTGGCATCTGTAATGCCAGGAAGACAATACATTGCAACATGATAAAACAAAAATGACCCATGAAATTTGTTACATTCCCCACTCCTACCCCTCCCAATAACCTTAAGAGAGAAACTTTTTCTATCAAATCAGCTTCCAGTTGTTTGGGGAAAGCCTCAACTCAATGAGACAACTCAGAATCATAAAACTGAGTGTAATTGTAAAAATCCCACTGCCTCACTTAAAGCCATACACATGCAAAACCATGTAAGAACATCAACTTGCCTTTAGGATTTTAGTCTAGCTCTTCAGAGCATAATTTTCTATGAAACTTAAATAACAGTCTGGCAAAACAATTTCACCTATTTCTAAAGGAGATTATTCTCTCTCTCTCTCTCTCTCCCCCCCCTTCCCTCCCTAAAAATAAATAAAATATTTAAAAAAAATTAAGTAATGATAGAAAACTATTCAGTGAAGGTAATTTAGAAAAGGGAATCCCAAGGTCAAAATTCTCTATGTCTAAAGCATGCATAAACATACTACAGTTAAGTTACATCTTAAATAATTTTTACATAATTAAATATAAAGGTATAAGCTTTTTAGGTCAGGTAAATATACAGAACATGACAAAATTTATATCACCAAATAGTTCAATATCTTAGAGCATCATAACAACCAATACGAATAGAATTTTCCCTACTTCAACATAATCTAATAGTAGTAAAAGAAAGGAAGAACAGAAATCAGATTACCAAGACAAATTTCACCTTATATAAATTTTACTTGTTATTTTTGATGGTACTGATTGATCCCATGAAGTTTATTATTAGCAAGTTATTTCCAGTTGAATAGAAGCTACTTTTTAAATTTAATCTTTATTATATTTTTTCCATTACCATTTAGTCCCTTTATACCCCTTCCCCCAAAAGCTACTTTCTCTTAAAATAATTACATAAAATCTAGACAAATAGATTTCAGTTGAGCAATGAAAATAATATTAACATTTTTCAAACAGGCTAGCCTAAAATCACTATACTAGTATCCTAACAATGCAGAAATTTCATACTCTCTTACCATATCTAACAAAAAAATGCTATATATCAGGTATTTTGGAATGCCTATTTTTTTAAAAGGCAATATTGATAAACAACTTAAATGTGGCCTAGCAGAGATTCAGGCATCACTGTACTATTCATTTAACCATAAAAGAAGCAGAGGAACCTAAAAGCAGTTCATCACTTTGGCATACCATATCTAGTACACTCTTAGACAAAAACAGAATCCATAGTCCTAATTTCTTATGTTTCTCTAATACTCTATTACCAAAGCATTTTCTATATACAATTCTAGAAAAAAATCTAGGAATTCAAATGAGCAATTAATGGGGAAAGTTTCTTCTAGATCTCCTTCTTTGACGAAAACTTTCCAAGATTTTGTATGTTGTTCTAAAGAGTGACCCAAAAATGTCAAAAGCCTTGTGTCTCATTCTAACTGCAAAATCCTGCAGTAGTAGAATCAAGACAAAACTTAGTTTCTAAGTCTCACATCATAGATTTTTTTTAAAAAGCATCTTCTATTAATCCTAGATTACTCATATAAATGGTTTGAAAATATTTGTTGAAAGTAAAATTCAGATAGAAGAAAGTTACCTTTTCTTTCCATAGGTAAAGTCAATAACCTAATCTATAGTTTTTGCTGCTATCAAGGAGCTATTTCCATATTTAAAAATATATAAAAATTATAACAGGAAAGATTTTTTCAGACCTTAAGTTTCTTACATCAAGAATGTAGAAATCAGAACTCTAAGCCCTCAATTACATTGGCTGTCATCACAGAGAGCAGATGATTGAGATGATATGATCTTACTTAACAGTTTGATTTAATCATAAAGATATGTCTCCGGTGTTCAAAACAGATGCAGCTTCTCTGTTCATCGGAAATCCTTCCAGTCATTTACTAAAGGAATCCAGCTTGGAATTGATAACTGTGTATCATACTGTTGAGATAGGACTCTTGGAAAAAAGTTCAGTCTTCTAGAAAGCCAAAGAAGTAAAAGGTGCTCATAGCCATTTTAAGGAATCCAAAGAGAAGTATGAAAGAGTTACTCCTCTAGAGACTATCTTAACCAAATGGAACCACTGCTTCAGTTTCTAGCACTATGAGGTTATCAGACCCTGCCTCAAGTTTTGTCTTCACCTATTAATATTACCTTATTAGGGTTGTATATGAGCCAGTTAGACTTCATTCCGGAGATTTCAGACAGAAAATGAGACATCTGAGGTATTGTTCCTCCTAGATTAGATGAGAAGGAAAGATACAACTGGGTGTTGTGTGCTAACTATCTGTCTTGACCTTAGCAGAAGATACAAAGCATTGGACTCTTAGCAAGATTTGTATTTTGTTGCCTGATTTTTCTTTTTCTTTTTGTCCCAACTATTGGCTTTCAAATATTCATTTCAGCTTTCATAAGCAAGATTACTCATGGAAAGGACTTGAATTTTTCCTCTGGGCATCTTCAGTAAGAAATTCTTTCATTTCTCAGTTCCAAGAGGCTGAAATGGCCAGGCAGATGATTTGAATGTGATGGCATGCAGCTCAGACAGAGCATGACTTAAGCAACAGAAAAAATCTGGTATCTTGTGTTTGGAGTTGATAGTTGATGTTGCAGACTTGGAGGAGACGAACACATTGATTCACTTTTGGAAGAATACAGGCCTCTTGTCATGGCTACCTGTATTAAATTCATCCTGGTATTTGTTAGTAGACCAAAAGTCAAGCCTGTCAACACATGCATTATGGGTTCATTCTTCAAAGTTAAAAAAAAAAAGACACACAAATTTTCATAATAAACTTCTGATATATGAAAATTCAGTCTCATATTTATTCTTGGTTAAAGCAATTTTTCTTTAAATGCAATGCTTCTATAAAGAAATCAAATATATAAAGGATAATTCCTAGAAATTAAAAGGATGAATATTAATTGCTAAATAATGTGAATTACCCTTCCAATATAAAGTTTTCTTCCTATACCAGGTATAGCACCAAAATATCATGACCTGTGTCATAATTTTAGCAATCTTTATGATTCAGAGCTGCTTAACAAGCAGCTCCTCACCTCAGATTAACAGCAAGAAATTGTTGGCAATTAATATATCTTCCAACTTATCATCTCCATTTTTTAGTGAAACTTTCTCAAGAATTCCTAAAATAGAATTGTCAATGAGGTCTGAAACCCAATGAATTCTGATAAATTCTTTCTCTCTAAAATAAGGTTGTTTACATCAAGGTATGTGCCAGCAATGTTAGCCTCGTGAACCAAGATAATTATTTGTGTCAAAGGAACACCAGTCCTATCAACACAGTCATCTAAAGGATGCAAGGATGACTTTCCAATTCCAAAGTTTCCCGCTTCTAATAACGTCTATTAATGCAAAGTTTGTAAGAATTTTACCTGTATAGTTTTTTCATAATTCTTATGAACTGCTTCATTTAAATAAACTGAAAAAAACGATTCCATAAAAACATTACTAGTCAAATCTCCCAACAGTTATTAGAAGAGGTCATTCCACAAACAATGTTTACCTAGCTATTGCTGAATGTTGCTTAACAAGACATAAACTATATTTTAAAACTAAAACACATCATACCAATCAGATAGGAGGCTACCATATCATAGCAATAGCTGATATTTGCATGCTGCAAAATCTGATAAATAAACCCATTCTTATTTAAAAGAATTATGTTGTTATTGTTAAATAGCAAACATCATTAAGGGACAAACCTTTTTAGTTAACGTATCATACCTTCACTGATCTGATTCTCTGATGAAATCACACTTCCTGAGGGCAAGGGACCAACTGAACTTGAGACTTCCACAGCCTGCCTCTTCTCAAAACTGAACTCTGGAAGTCTTGGAGCCTGGGGTCTGGTTTTTCTTGCAGGATTCAAGAAAAAACAGTAGGCACATCGGAAGGCTGCAGAGAATTTCAAAAAAATAAACAAAACCATAAACCAAAGAAAACTCAAGATAAAATCAGATAACTCTCAAAATTACTTTTGCATATAGTCAAAGAACCCTTCAAAAGTTATTCATCCTTGTGAAATTACGCATGGTTTTAGTAACACTATTGCAGGTATCTAACCAAAGCTAATTTTTAAGCATACTTTCTTTTTCTTTTTTTTTAAGCATACTTTCTAAGTATTATTAGAATATTAATTTTAAAACAGAAAAGGTAAATTATATAGCAGGTTAACTAATAACAGTAAAACAATACTAATAATGACCTAAATGTATTACAGAAATTTCATTTCTAGTCACCAGAACCATTAGCTATTTTTAAACCCAGAACCTCACTCATTTGCCCAAGAAAATGTAGTACATCATATTTGAGAAGCATAATTAATTTAGCACAATATTTTTTAACAGTGGCTATACATGAGAATCATCTAAGGAACTTTCAAACCATGCTGATGCCTAGAACCCCACCCCAGATCAAGTAGAGCAGACTTTTTGTACGTGGGCCCTGGACATCATAATTTTAAAAAGCTATTCAGGTGATTCTGTAGCACAGTGAAGGCTGAGAACAGCTGGCCTAGAGGTTGTACAGTGTTATGAGAAAAATATGAATTGTCTTTCCTGCTTCATCTATGTTCTAAAATAAGGACAATATGCCTGACCAATATGTACAGAGACAGTACCAAAAATAAAATGACATTACATGGGGACTGGCATACAATGAAATATTTGAGAGTAAAATATTTTAAATAAGTGCCCAAGAGTTCTTACCAATGTATTCAAATTCTTCTTTCAAAGCCATGCCATTATGAGAAAAACACTGCTGACATATAAGGGCATACCTAAACCAAATGGAAAAATAAACAGACTAGTTACAAATGCAAACAAAGCCCATGGGAGAGTCTACTTTAGCCATCACAGCTAATTTATATTTTAATGTAGCTAGATATGTCATAACATTAAATGTTCTTAGTTAACAATAAATAATACTCTCTAAACATAGTAACAGCTAAAATTTCAACCATTTAAAAATATAATATACGTCATACTAAAAATAAACAAAGCAACAAATTAATACATCCTTATTAAGTTAGCAGAAACATTTGGTAATAGAACACTTAAATTTCAGTGTTTCCTAAAGTATATTCTAGGGGATGACAGAGTATGTGGTCATACTCTGACCCAAGTTCAATCTTATCTGACCGAAGTATGTGGTCAGATAAGATGGAACCTCTCACAGATTCACAGTGAGAAGTCTTGTAGTAAAGAAATTAATTTTGTTTAGTTCAGTCCAAAGGTTAATATCTGTACATCATAATTCCTGTATCTATCCCAGTTACACTTAAACATCTTCCTCATTTTCTATTTGAGTCATTCTATTCTCTGCATATGTACTTAACAAAATATTTATAAAAAACATTCTGTTTTGAATAGCATACAATTTATTAACTTTAAATTCTAGTCCCTTATTAAATTGATAATATTAACCAATAACCTTGTCAAATATCTACTCTACTATTCTAAAAAATTTTTTACTATGACAATTGCTTCACTCACATCATACCTTTCTTCCTACAAGTACTGTAAAGGTAAAATAAGATAATAACTGGAAGAGTATTTTGAAACCTGTAAGTGCATAATGCATGTAAATTGTCCTCATTGTTATTAAAATTATCACCATCACCAAGTCCAGTACTGACATCTATAAAATGCCATTTCTTACAACCTATGAAGTTTTCACTATCTGTGTACTCTTCAAATTTAAAAGTTTTAGTGAAATGAATCAATTTCTCTAAAAATAACCTTACAGTAATATTATAATATATAGAGTTACAATATTTTTTCTGTTTTATATATATATTTTCCATATTTTATCTAGATACTTTGTGCAAACTCCTACTGAAAAGAACAACTGAATATGCACTCTTTTATAAGGCTATAAAGTACTACTTCATTATGTTTTAAAAGAAGGAAACAGGAGCCACAAACCTACAGAAATCTAGTGTGTGCACACCCAACACATACACCATAACCAAGAAACTTTTTCTTCATTTGTATGTATTTACCACCCTGGTAAACATTACCTATTTTGTGGACCATCACCAACTAAATATTCAACAATTCTATCCAAAGCACCTCGTTCTCGGGGGAGAATGGGTCTTGCTAAAGGTGGGCCCGGAGGATGAAGGCCTAGTAAATAAATAAATACATAAAAATGTATAAGCATAATTCAGGTCCCAAGAACTACCTATGCTTGTCAGAACTTAAATGATTTTAACAAAACAAAAATAATATTGATTCTTATAAATCCTTATAGAGGATTCAAATTTTCATTAAAAAGGCTGTATGACAAGAAATGTTTAAATATGTGTTATACCAGAACATAATATAATCTATTAATCTATTAAGACATGAAGCTATGTGAGGTTCTGTATAAACTAATTTTTTAAATGCCACACTTTTAAAAGTATACATAAGAATAAATTAGGGAATTCCACTTTGAACCATAATAGAATCAGAGGGGTCATAATTTACCTTACTACCTAAAATAACTAAAATACTGTGCAAAATACGATGTAACAATTTCAAAGACATTGAGTATCAGGCAATGTAGGATAAAAATCTCTGAGAGACAAAAAGCAAATAAGATGAGCCATAAATTGATCCAGTTGGCTGCCTAGAAAGATTTCCTGGCGACAGCTCAGGGAGGGTAAACCCAGGTGAAGTGAATCCGTGTCCCTGAGATGAGGAGATAAAGCTGGAACTCTGGAGGAGCCAAGCAGTTTGACTTCACAGGAAAGGTAGAAGAGAATGCACAGAGCAAGAAAACCAAAGGTCTGCAGGCTATTCAACAGAGACTAACTGACACATGCATATGAGGAAACTACCTGAGGACAAAGAACTGACCCAAAACATTAAAGGCAACAGAAGCTTACGTGGAGCAAAATGTTGAACATTTTCACCAGCCAGCATGGAAAACTTCCTAACTCACAGGTCACTGGTTAAGTATTGAGGAGTTTTATATAGGAATATAAAAATACCCTGCATCCAGTAAGGGAAAGTTCATGTCTGGCATCAGATCAAAAATTATTAAACTTATAAATATTCAGAAAATTACAACCCATAATGAGAAAAAAACAATAAAAAATGACCCAAAAATGACAGAGATAATATGATTAGTAGACAAATACATCAAAACACTTATGACTATACTCCATATGCTTGAGAATCTAAACAAAAGATACAATGTTAAGTAGAGACACAGAAAAAATTTAAAAGACCCTAACTAACTTCTGCAGATGAAAAATACAGCATCTAGGATGAACAATCCACAGATGGGATGAATAGCAATTTAGACATTACAGAGAAAAAATTAGTAAATGTCATACAAAGTGAAACATAAAGACTAAAAATATTTTTAAATGAAAAAATCATCAGCGAGCTGCAGAACCTAATATACATATGATTGGATCCAGAAGAAGAGAGAGAGGGAAAAGAAAATAGTATTTAAAGAAATAATGCACAAAAATTTTCCAAATTTGATGAAAAATATAAACTCACAAATTCAAAAGTATCAACAAAACTTAAGCACAAGAAACATAATTTTACAAAGGATACAGCATATTCAAATTGCTTAAAACTAGTGATAAAGAGAAAATCTTAAATGCAGTCAGAAAAAGATACATGATGTACAGAGAAACAGAGATGGGAATGACAGCACACTTCTCATCAGAAAAATAAGCAAGCCAGAAAACAATGAAACAGTATGTTTGAGGTTCTGGAGAAAATTGATCAACTTAGAATTCCATATTAGTGAAGAAATATTTTAAAAATAAAGGCAAAAAAGAAGGCTCTTTCAGACATACAATCAGAAACAATTCATCCCAAGAATTACATGACTGGAAATGTTAAAAGACATCCTTCAAGCAGAAGGAAAAGACATCAAATGAAAAGCTGATCTTTTCACCAAAGAAGAAGGATTACCAGAATGGTTACCATGTGGGTAAATATAGAAAACTTCTATTATTTAAATCTTTTAAAAGATAGTTTATGGTTTAAAGAAAAAGTAATTTGTTGTGAGGTTTATAATATATGTAGAAGTGAAATATATAATAACAACAGTACGAAGGCCAGGAGGGGAGAAATGTAAGTATACTGTTGTTAGATTCTTAAACTATTGTGAACTGGTATCCTATCACTTGCAGATAAATTGTGATAAACAAAGCTATATACTGTAAACACCAAATCACTCACTAAAATTACACAAAAAAGCAATATAGCTAATAAGGAAACAAAAATTATAAAATGGAATAAAAAATACTCAATCCAAAAGAAAGCAGAATATGAGAAGAAAGGTAACAGAAAAGACTAACAGAAAAAAAGCACAATAGAACATTTAAACACAAACCTATGCATACCAATCATTGCATTAAATGTGTATGTCCTGAACATCCTCATTATGAGGCAAAGACTGCCAGAATGAATAAAGTAGCAAGACCAAATATATGCTATTTACCAAAAAATATATATGTCAAATAAATTAAAAGTATATGATAGAAAACACATATAAATATGCTGACAACCACTAATCAAAAGAAATCTGTAGTAGCTATATTGATATCAAGCAGAGTAGACAGACTTTACAGCAAAGTGTATTCTCAGATAAAAAAAGTAATTTCATGACAAAGGAGTCAATTTATCAACAGGGCATAGCAATTCTAAATATATATGTGCATCATAACAGAGCTTTAAAATACATAAAGCAAAAACTAATAGAACTACAAAAAGAAATACACAATTGTACTTGAAGATTTCAACAGCCTTCTCTCAACAGTTGACAGAATAAACAGACAGCAAGTCATTAATAATACAGTGTTGATACAGAACAGCACTATTTACTACCAACTTGACCTCACTGACATTTATTGCCACTCTACCCAACAAAAAAGCATATAGTAATGCATTGCTTAATAACAGAGATAGGTTCTGAAAAATGCTTCATTAGGTGATTTTGTCATTGTACAAACATCATATAATGCACTTACACAAACCTATACAGTAAACAGCCTACTATGCACCTAAGCTATATGGTACAATATGGCCTACTGCTACTAGGCTACAAACCTCTATAGCATGTTACTGTACTGAATACCATAGGCAATTGTAACCCAATGGTAAGTATCTGTGCATCTAAACATAGAAAAAGTGCAAGAAAAATATGGTATAAAAGATAAAAAATGGTACACCTGTATAGGTGCTTTCTATGAATAGAGATTACAGGACTGGAAGTTGCTCTGGGTGAGTCAGTGAGTGGTGAGTGAATGTGAAGGCCTAGGACATTACTGTAGACTCTATGAACACTGCTCCACAAGACAAGCTCTCCCCCTGCTTCCTTCCAACAGGATCGGAAATAGGCCACCGAAGTTGTCAATGCTGCTCCATGAACAGGGCTGTGGGCTGCAGTGACTGGAAACAGGGAGGAGAAACCGGCTGGGTAAGGCACAGGAGGCCATGATAGCGACGTAAGGAGGGAGGGGAAGGTGGCCTGAAGAGCAGTAGGAGTAAGAAATCAAGGTGGAGAGATACAGGGACATCAAGGATTGTCATGGCAACATGGTTTTGGCTACTGCATGTTGGAGCAGTGGTCAGATTAATGAACTTTGTAGTATTAAAAAAAAGTGTTTAACACAGAGAGGATGTAGAATTAAGGACTTAATATTTTCACTCTGGTAATTTGTTTTTCGTTCCATTGACCCTATCTGACACAAAGAGCTCTCTCTGGCACTGAGCTGATAAAAGAAATAAAACTTATCTATGCTTTATATCACTACAACCTGAAAATATTTCCAAAGTTCAAGGACAGGACGGCTCCACTCTACCCCATAAACTTTTACTAAAGTGGCAATAGCACTTAACACTTCTTAAGATGGTCCCTGTGGACCTGTGTCTGTGTACAGGATTTTAGTTCCTCAACAAAGGATTTACAGCAACATTCTCTGAAGACTATCAAGCTAGATCGGGGAGGGCTGAATACATTATGCTGGGGGGACCAGCTCCTCTGGGCTGAAACAGATCAGTGGCTGACTGACTGGGATGTAATCTGTATACTAAAAACTGAGGTTCTGAGAGTAAGATGGAATCTGTTGCCAAGTCCAACAGATACTGTTCCCATTAGAGAAAAAATTCCTCCTGAACCACATAGCCTTCCATTCCTTACAGGAAATTCATCTCCATTACAACCTTATGAGACCATCATCATATATGTGGTCTGTTATTCACCAAAACATCATTATGTGGCACATAACTACATTCTTTTGAATGAGCATAAAAGAGATGATATTCTGAGACAAAACAAGTCTCGATACATTTAAGACAATTCAAATAATACAAAGCATATTTGCTGGACACAACAAATTAAATAAAAATCAGCAATAGAAAGGCATAGGAAAAACCTCCAAATATTTTAAGATGAAATACCATATTTTGCTGTGCATAATGTGCACTTTTTGACCAAATTTTTGAGGGAAAAATAAGGGTGTGCATTATACATGGGTGGTACCTGAAATACCTTGTATCTGTCCTTGTATTTTGTAATCATTTGTCACATAAAATTTCCTGTACTATATGTTCAAAAAATGCTAAAATCCCTGTATAATACAAAAAACAAGTATCTAAATATAAATAAATAAATAATTGAATCAAAAAATTAAAACAAAAGTTTTATTTCTTGAAAGTTTGGTCCCAAAATGTGGGTATGCATTATCCATGGGAGCACATTATACACAGCAAAATATGGTAATATACATCTAAATAATAAAGGAAATTAGAAAGTATTTTTAAATAAATAAAAAATTTTAGAAACATATCAAATTATGACATGCAGCTAAAATAGTAATTAGAGGAAATTTTATAACTATATTTCCCTATAACTATAGGTACAGGAAATACCTATAACACTAAACACCAACAAAAGAAGATAGGTTTAAAAATCATGATTTCAGCTTCTACCTTAAGAAACTAAAAGCAAAGAGCAGATAAAACCCAATGTAAACAGAATAAAAGAAATAATAAAGACCAGAGAGAAAACAAGTAAAATAGAAAATATAAAAATAATAGAGAAAAACTGGTTATTTGAGATCATAAAATTGGTAAACCCCTAGCCAGACTTATCAGAAAAAGAGAGAAGATAC